TCTGAAGCGAAAAGGCAGCTAATGGTGCAGTGTTATGTCTATTGTGCGTTGCGGGGGGCGGGGGGGGGGGTCTCGGTCTTCTGCCGAGAGGGAAGTCTGCTGTTGTAAGCTGGAAGGAGGGATGCAAAAAGCATTAGTGCTTCCTTAATAAGAGAGCAAGGGATGGCTGGACTTTGTAACTTAAAACAAAAGGGCAATTGTTCTTGAGCACTGAGTCTTAAAGGTTCTCTCAAGATGGCAGCAGGTCAGTTTTAATCTCTGCCCCAGAGTAATGCAGACAAATCTGGCTGTGCCCTGGTTCCAGGCTTGCGATTGTGCACTGGTCACCTGTGGGGGCGGGGGTGGATCTGATTGCCAGCTGGTCCCTGTACCTTGTGTCTGCTCTGTGCTCCAGCATCAAGCCCCAGCTGTGCCACCCTTCTGACTGCAAGGAGGTGACTGCTCTATCACCAGTAGGATGCGCTGTAGGCATGTCTAAGGGTCCTTCAAAATGCATGTGATGGTAACACTTAGCTCTTGCCTACCACTTTTCATCTGTAGCTCTTCCAGCACTTTACAAAGGCAGTTGGTATCATTATCCCCCTTTTACAGATGGGGAAAACTGAGGCACACAGGTGATGTGACTTGCCGTGGGTAGGCCAGCGGCAGAGTCAGGAATAGAACTCACATCTCCTGAATCCCTGGCCATTGCTCTAGAGCCCTATCTCGTGGCATATTCTCACAGCGGGACTCTGCGTGCTGGGTGTGATCACACGTCAGTCCCAACAGAACATGCCTTGGCTGAACTGAAACAAACCGTTAACACGTAGCTGCGGCTCAGAGTCCCTCGTGCAGCCAGCCATGGAAGCGGTACCGTTGGGCTACCCCCAAAGTGATTTTAATGCATAGTTCAGCTCTGCTGCTGGGCCCAAAGGGGAAAACGACAAGGGTGATGGTTCCCCTAGGCCAGCACAGGGCTTTGGGGAGCTCGGCCGGAGCTGGATCAGAACAGGAGAGGGAGCTCCCTTCAAGCTCTGTCAATTAGGGGATCTAAGAGCAGGAAGGGCAGCCTCGAGGCCTCCACCTTCAAATCTTCCCCGCAGGGCCAGCAGCTGAGGAGGGTGGGCCAGAACATCAGAGCTGAGGGAAATGGGAGGAAGCGTCAGGCAGTTCTGCGGCTGTGAGTGACGAGGGAGTTTGAGATGATCGGGGGGAGTGGTGCTCAGCCAGCTCTCTCAGACTAACCCCCCTCCTGGACCTTGGCTCCCCTCTCAGGGCTGCAGGAAGAGGCTCCTCTCAATTGCATGCTGGCGGCAGCTTCTGTGCAAAGTGGAGATGAGGGGTGCAGCAGGGAAAATGGGTGTGTGTGTGTGTGTGGGCGGGGGGGCTTTGACAGATCTGTCCCCAACTACTGTAGTTTAAAAAAGAAAACTAAAATATAGACAGCCATAAGCAGCCCCCTCCCCTCCTTTCCCTACCAAGAAGTGTGTTGGAAAAAAAAAATCACAAAACAATAAAGCAACTGTTCTACAGGAGCCTTCCCTCAGTGAATTTCACTAGGAACAAAAGAAACTACATAAACCAGTAGGCTAAATTTTAACCCTGTCCACTAAGAAAGAGAAACAACAGAGCCCGTTCTCCCCCTTCGAGTTAACAGCGTCCGTCAGCGAGCGTGACGGCCGCTCCGTCGGTTTGATCTGTACTCCGGTGCTGCTGCTGTTTGAGTGTGAGAAAGTTGTGCAGGGGGGCGGAGGAGAAAAAAAAAACCCCACCAAGGATTTTTGTTTTGTTTCGTTCCTTCCTCAGTCCAAGAACTTGACGAGAAATGGGTAAGTTGAATGATGAGGTAGTGCCAGGTTCAAGCGTTTTCACTGCTCCTCTTCGGATGACTCCTGCGAAACGTTCACCTCCTCTTCGTCCTTCTGCTGTAAGAGAAGGGAGGAGTGAGGTAGCACCCGGCCAGCCTGGCTCCAGGTCAGCGTAGGCGCATACGCCATGTCTAGTGCACCATTAAAGATACAGCCCTCTTTAGATATGCCCCTTTGATGACTCTGTATGTTTAAAATACTCACACTCAACGGTCTTTGAGTGGAGCCCTAACCAGATTTAACTTCAAATCAAGCTCCCAAGCACTGCCAGGCCCAGCCAGGCACTTGGAACTGGCTCCACTCCAAGGCACAGATCCGAACTAGTCCCAGTATTGCCACGGTGACTTTGGGGAAGTCACTCTGCCTCTTCGCCCCGGTTTCTGTACCTGGGAAATGAGGATAAGGACACTTGCCCGTCTTTGGAAAGTGCTTTGAGAGCTACAGATTAAAAAGTGAGTGAGCGACAGAGTCACGTAACCAAGGTCGTGTCATACGTGGCGGTGGCTAGCAACTGAACGTGGAAGAATCCTGACGTTCGGCCCCTTGCTCTTAGCATTGGACCATAGCGCCTCTGCCAAGGAGACACCCCAACTTCTGTGCCTCCAACGGGCCCCTGTAATGGATTCTGGTGACCGTCCTCAGGGAGAAGCACCTGCACTGGCTGATGGTGGCAGGGCCAGTCTCAGGTATTAATGTGGTGGTGTGCACCCTGGGGCCCTGGTCCTGAGTAGGTCTTTAGCCTCGGTCATAGCAGAAATACTCAACACCAGTAACTTTCATGGACGTGAATAGCCCAACAAAAAACATATCCACCGGCTAGATGCAATGCTTCCCAGAGGCCACAAGAGGGGACCCCAGTAGCAGCTGGAATCTCAACATGCCTGTTAAGACCAACTGTGCTCTTCCTCCCCCCCTTTTGCAATGGACCTCTGTTCGCCCACTCGGAGAGCAGCACCCTCCCTTGCTCACCCCACCTCCCAAACTTGCAAGGCAGGGGGCACGCGTCAGCACTGCTGGCAGGAACCCCTGGGCTAAGTGCCACAGCGATGGCATGAACCGGAGCGAAGGCATTCCTTGAAACGCACTCCTCCGCCTGGCTCTCTTTAAAGAGACACGCACGCTCTCAAAACAGTCTGAGTCACCCTCACACTCAGCCGTGAGTCAGCAACCTCCACTTCCTCGCGTTTCATTCATAAAAAAATAAACCATTGAAGCCGGCACGGAAAGCGGCTGCCAATTCCATACAAAGTGTTCCAGTGACACAGACCTTCTCACTTAGCGAAGGAAGGAAGTGAGGGATGGGCCCTGGTTAACCCTTCTCCGCTCCTGGGAAGCGGATCGTGGTTAACCAGCATGCCAGGGCAACCCAGAATAGAAAAAGGGGTTTGGCAGCCCCACCTGGGGAGCGAGGAAGCTGGCTAGAAAATCCTGCAGCTGTATGAACCCAAGGCCCTGCTCGCAGACTGAGCTGTTTTCAGTGTAGACATTGGTTTCGCTTGGAGAATTTCAGGTAACAGCTCCCCCGGGGAGCCTGCAAAGGAATTTGCAGATTTCAGAGCCAAAGACACTGTAAAAATAATTTGAGGTGAGCTTGGTGGATCACTTGATGATTACCTGTTCTGTTCCTTCCCTCTGAAGCACCTGGCAGTGGAAAACAGAATCCTGGACTAGACGGACCTTGGGTCTGACCCAGTGTGGCCGTTCTTATGTTTGTTCTAGAACACTAGTGAGTCAGGGATTGTGCAAGTTCCAGTGATGCAGCTTTGCACTAGACTCCTGCAGTGCCAGCCCAGCCCCCAGCTGCTCTTGCTAGGGCAAAGCACCCCAATCCCCTCCCTTCACCACACAGGAATGCTGGGGACGCTTGTGTAGTCTGCGTTGTGCAGGAGACCAGACTCGATCATAACAGTCCCCTGTGGTTTTATGAATGCACCTCAATCTAGATCTGAAGCCCACCCTTTGCTGTTCCCATCTCGGGCCTCATTCAGCCAGGGATGGTTCTAGAATTTGGCAAGACAGGCATTTTTCTACCAGACAGGCCTAGAACAAGTCTTCCCCTCTTGCTGTCCAAGCTGGGATTTGAACCTACGTCTTGAAGAGCGAGCGGCCAAGTGCACTGTGCACCATGTATGTTGTTATCCCTTGTCTGAGTTTCCAGACAAACTCCCTTCAAAGCTGCATTTAGGAGACCTCTCCAAATCTGGTGGCAAGCGGCAGCATCTCGCAGCATTGGTGCAGGATATTGGAAAGCAACTATCCAGGCTTCCTCCCCTTCTCTGGATGTGGGGTCACTACAGCCAACCAGCAGCGGGTGAGCATGGCACGTTTAGCAAGGATGCTTCTGCCAAGGGCTGAGGTTGCAACTTGCTGAGCCTGAGGTGGGTGGGTAGGGATCTGCTATGCAATGTGACCTTGACAGCAGCCTAATGCTTTGCTTGAATGGAGTTACACCAGGGAGGAATTTACGGGGTGTACAAAGAAAGGGAAAACTCAAGGTGGTGGCTGGAGACAGCAAAGACTGAAATTCTCAGGGGGCTGGTGGGATGCAGGGGAACCCGTAGGGCAGTTAGGGGAAGGTGGGAGGAATCCAAGTACTGTTTACAGGGTGCCCCAAATTGCCAGGCTATCCAAGCTGGCTGTACAAGGGGATCCAGCGGAAGAGGCAGGCAGTGCCGCCTTAACCTGGAGAGAAGCAAGAAAACCATGGTTCTGCAGAGCTCCTGAAGCCAGCAGAGTGCTCCCTAGGGCAGCAGATAGCAGTTTACAGCAGGGGAAGGGTGGGGCTGCTGCAGTAGCTTATCGCTGCTGGGGTGGGGCGGGGTGCTGCTGGGGGAAGCTCAGACTGCCAGGCTCTGCAGGAGGGTCTGTGACAGCCAGAGAACCTCGGTGGCTGGGAAAGGGAAGAAAGAGGAGCAACATATGGGGGCAGAGGGAATTTGCTGCACACTCACTCTGCAGGAATGCCACCCTGGTAACACACCACAAAGCCTTGGGCAGGCCTGTGCCAGCTAGCTGAAGAGAACAAGCCACTTCCTGTTAGTCACTCTGGGGAGCAGGGAAAGAACACTGAGCTAATTACAGCCATTTAGAGTTGTCATGGACCACGGAGAGGTGGATTACCACCTACTGTATTACAGTTTACCTCCCAGGAACCCTGTGGCACGGAGACACTCATCCCCTCGCTGTACTCCCCCGGGCGTCATCCGGCACCAGGATGTGACTGTCCCCTCGACTACAGTACACTGCATCACACCCCTAAGGTGTATCACAGCGCGGCTTCCAAGGACATCTGGCACGGACGCAGGACTACGACCCTTCTGCTAATTCAATGCCACAGCCCTAGGAACTTCCAGCCCCGAGATTAGGTTGCATCCCCCCTGCTATATTTTAGCACAGGTCCTGAGGAGCTTCCAGTATCAAGACACAACCACATGCCCTCTACTCGGTTAGAGCACAGCCTGTGCTGCCAATGTCCAGCACAGAGATGCAGCTCCTTGCATCTCAGCCCCTTCCACTCTCTGTGGTGCTGCTGTGGTTGCAAAGTAGTCGAATGAGCGTGGGACCACGTCGAACCGCATGGTTCTCATGGAAATTCACAACGACAGAAGAGACAGATTTCAGGCCCAGCTTTCGGTGCAAAAGGAGAATTCCTATCAGCAGTACAACGGCTATGGCATGGAGTGTAGCAGTTTGCGAGCACTGATATCCATGCAGACTAGCCAGGGTCAGTACATGCATTAGCCCACCACCACCTGGAAAGCCCCAAGAATAGAGACCAGCTTTTCTTACAGCGCAGAGGTGAAGCCATCCAGCTGCAGTGTGGAATACCCGGACTGCAGTCACTGTGATTCCTCCAGGGCACAAGAGGCTCAGCTGAGTTTCCTGCTACTCCTCTTGATCCCACCCCCCTCAAGACTGGCTTCCTCCCTGCAAGAAGCAGGCCTCTTTCCCCACCTTGCATCTGTGCAAGGGCCTGATCCTGTGGGGTGCTGCATACTCTCCATTCACTGGGAGCAGAGAGGGCTCAGCACCTGGCAGAATTGGGCCTCGGAGAACTATTAGGATAGGAAGGTTCCACTTACCGATTTTTTGGGCCGGCCTCGAGGTTTCCTCCCAGGTGTTACTGCAGCTTTCTAAACACAGAGAGAACTTTTAAATCCACAGAGGGGACCGAAGAAACACCCCCTCATCGTCTCCTTCCCTGGAAATCTTTGATTTCTATTGTCTTCTAGGTCAGGTGTCTTCTAGCTCACCTTGTCAAACTCACACGAGTGGCAGTTCCCAGGCTGCCCTTTGGCTGCTGGACATAAAGATGGCCCCACGGGGCTAGATCCCCCCCCCCCCAATCAGAGTTATTTTCCAGCATGCAATGGCCAGGCCAGCCCCATGACTCAGAGAAATTTGCAGGATATGAGTCGCGTGTTTTCAAAACAGCTTTAAAACACAAACACACACACATATCACACGAACCTTCTGTATATCTCTACCCCTCCCTTCCCAGCGATGTCTCATACTCTGTCATTTATACAGTCTGTCCTCAAAGACTTCCTGGGGGGCCGGGTGGGGGCCTGAAGGGAGCTGGTAACCTCATCCCCCTCCCTAACACACACGCGACCCTGGGAGAACCAGCACGCTGCTGCTAGGTCACTGCTGCCACAGATTCCTCCCTAAGTATCACCTTAGCTATAAGACTTTGTCCTTCTATGAAGCAAGGATCTCAAAACCTTCCACCCACCTCCTGCCAGTCCTTTCTGATGGGTATCCTTATTCCCATCTTACAGGTGGGCAAATTGAGGCACAGGAGAAAGTGACTTGTCCAAGGTCCCACACAGCAGAGTCTGGGTCTGGATGGATGTGCTCAGAAAGGAGCCTCCTCCTATCCTCTGCCCCACACAATTCCTTTGGGGCCCGTCCACCGTTTGCAGCTGGCTAGAATAATGGTGGGATGCTCAAGGCTGCCGTTAAACAGAAGATGGGGTGTGATGTGAGCCCTCCCCTCGTCCAACTGATCGCAGCCCAGAGTCTATAGTAAGATTTCCCTGCTCCACCCCCACTTTCCTCCCTGCAGAAGGTCCTGATCTTTCCCTGCCCAGCCTTGGCCATGCAAACCCCAGCTGCCTCGATGCTGCTCCTGCCGACACTGAGAAACAAAATGTCACCAGCTGTCCCACTTGGATGCAAACGGCTTCACGTGACGAGTCCAAGGGACCCTCGTGTTCCTCCACCCGCCATCTCTCCACACAAGCATCAGTGATCATTGACTTCCTTGAATGAGGAGTTCACGGGGTCTGTATTGGTGATGGCAGGGGCGGGGAGGGGGGTAGGGAGCACCTAGGTTCCTCCCTGCAAAAATCTGGGTGCCCATCTGTCTGGTCCAAACCCTGTCTGTCTGCACAGCTGGGCTAGAAATCTCACCACTGAGCCCAGTGCGTGCGTGTGGGAAGTTCCGTCACCTCCAGCTTCCCAGAACAGAAATCCTGTGGATGCCAAGAAATCCAAGGGAGAGGGACATCTTGTGACCAGACACCCCCAGGCTCCCAGTGCCCAAATGCCAAGGAGTCACTTCAATCTTAAATGGCCATTAAGAAGCAGTGGATGGGGAAGGTCATGTGGTTTTCCCCCTCCCACCCCATACCTACCCTGCCTTTAGAAGTGGCCTTATTTTTGCTCCCCTTTGGTCTGCCACGTGGTCTCTTGGGGGTTGGTGCCTCGCTGGGTTCCTGCTGGAGACAAAGGACAGGACTTGTCAGCAGACATCCAGATCTGCAGTGATCAGTGCTGAGAGGCAGGGCTGGGACAAGCATAGCCCGTTCACAGCCCACTTGCCCATCCAAGTGGGATCTCACTGCACCCAAGAGCAGGAAGGAATCCCAGCAAAACAAAATAAATCGGAGTCCTGGCATGCATGCCACAGGGCCTGTGTTATGGAAATGCCCACAGCATGGCACTGCACCCACCCCCCTCAGTCTTAATACACAGATGCCAACCAAAACACCTGGCTAGTGTTTGCATTGCAGCAGAGGCAGATCAAGAAGGAACAATGCATGCTGGGACCTGTAGTTTCCAAGGGCTGTGGGAATTCAAAGCGAACGGATGGCCAGAGAGGGCCTGCACTTAGACTAGCTCTGCTTTCAGTGACGCACTCTGCTGTGGACAGAATGCACCTGTCACACTGCGCCCAGGAGGGATGTGGGACAAAGCATACGGGGGCTACCTGGACTTCTGATGGAACGGGCCATTGGTGAAGGGGGAGGAAAGGCATGAACCTTCCGAGAAGAGGCTGCTTTTCCTCCCAGATTTGGAGACGCAAGAGAGAAGGCCATGGGCCTGATTTTTGGAGCGGGCACTGGGATGTCTCCCTTTAACAATAAAACAGTTAACCCAAGAGCCCATAGCCCAGGAAAGAGCACCCTGAAATTTCGACACCTGGAGACTCATACAAAAAACAATCTTGTGAATTATGCATTATTCTGGTGTCACTGCTACAGTTCTAATACCCAGGCACTTTCCGTTTATAGCTGCAGCTATTAGCAAACCAGTAATCCAACACCCGCAGCCCTGCCCCCACCTCCACCGAGTGACTGCCTCCCCTCACCAATCCGAGCCCTGCTAGGCAGATATTCCACCAGCCGGAAGAGGAAGGAGGTGGGATCAGCTGGCTCAGGGCAGTTAAAAGATTGATACCAAGGGCCAGTTGCTGATGTTGGTTAGGCTGGTGTCAATGTGGAGAAACTGCAATGGCTGAGAGCAGAGTTAAGCTCCCAAATGAGATGTGCTCACGATTTCTTGTGCTTCCCCAGCTCCCTGGGTTTATGCTTAAGGTAATAATACAACAATAAAGGGAACAGAGGAATGACACTCTCCAGTGGTTAGAACACTAAGTGGGAATTGGGACACCTGGATTCCCTTCCTAGCTTTGCCACTGACTTGCTCTCAAAGCATTTTGCTAAGCAGGGATGTTACAGTGGCAACCACAGGGCATACAGCAAGTCAGTGCCTTTTCGCCTTGCCTTCTAAGTCCTTCTGGAGAGGGCCATTTGGCCCCAGCTTGGAAGCCAGAATTTAATCTTACCTGGCAATAGAGGCTATTGCTTTGCCCCATGCTAGATCTTGGGTATGAAATCTCGATAAGCATCGATTCAGCCCTCTCCGATGTCGGGAGTAGCCTCATTTTGCGGATCACAAGTTAAGAAACTTGCCCAAGGCTGCCACACGTTGTAAGGCAGTGGCGGAGCTGAAGAGAGAACCCAGGATCCCTGACTCCCAGTCCTTTGCTGTAACCACCAGAGGGTGCTAGATGGGTGATGCCTCCCAGGTGGCAAGTCAGTCATGGAGATGCCTCATTTTTTTCCTTTCCGCCCCACAGACCTCCTGTCTGCATGCCTCATAGAACCCCTCTCTAGAAACATTGAAGAAAGCAATTCTCCATACCTGAGGCTTCTTCCTGGGTCGTCCCCGTCCTCTCTTCTCAGACACGTCCTCCTCCTGTTTGGAAGCCAAGGGCTGGCTGGATTTTGCACTAGATTCACTCATCGTCTTTCTTCCAGAGGACAAAAGAAGAAGAAAAAACGGTAAGTACAGAACACTTGTCTAGATGACCCCCGTTCTATAGGTCACAATCATCCCCATAATACTAGTGGGGAAATGGGGGCACAAAGAAGGGAAGGGTCATGTGCATGGTTGATTTAGTTGGTGTTGGTCCTGCTTTGAGCAGGGGATTGGACTAGATGACCACCTGAAGTCTCTTCCAACCCTAATATTCTATGGTGTCCTAGGGAAAGCCACCCAGGTCCTGGCAGTCAGAATTACAAACTGGGGGGGGGGGTCACTGGCCAGTGCATCTGCCGTGTCCCATCAGACTCTTGCACTCCCCTCCCACTCTCCACCAGTTCTGACCCTTCTTTCCCCACAATGACCTGTGTTGGATCTGTCAGCAATAAGTTTCTTGGGGAGCAGCAGTGCAAGGAGTCTTGGTGTTTCCTTCAGAACATGAAGGTTTTTGTGCCTCGCTCTTTGCCCACCTCTCTGCAAGTACCCAAAATCGGAGGCCCCCTTTGAAAGTCTGGGCCCTGCCATTGCACGTAGTTGTCCACACACCCCACAGCTTAGGTCAGGGTGGGGCGGAACGGCAGGGGTGTCAGGAGTTCAGTGAAGGAGGGAGTGAATTATATACAGTCACCTCCTGCTATGCCTGGTGCTAACCAGCAACCCTTCACTGCATGCACCCTCTAGTTATTTACACAGGTAGAGGAGTGTAAATACACACTTGGACAGAACTACCAGGAAAAGAGCAAGATGCATGAAGTCTATGGAATAGTCTCCCCATGGAAAGTGGCAGGAGCCCCATTGCTTAGGGAACTTTTAAGTAGGCTGCACAGAGTACCCCACCAGGGAATAATCCCACCTTGATAGGGAGATGGTCAAGGTAGGACCTTAAAGGGCTTTTCCAGCTACCAATTCTGTCTTTCAGGCTGATCCTCTGCCTATCGGGTTTTTAATCCATGTTCTGTACAGTGCTTCCCTTTCTTGTCTTGGGAACACTTCCCTAAGGCTCCTGGAGAAGATACTCCAGTGGGCATTTATGCTTCTGTTGTTTGTATTGCTGAGCTCAGGGTCCCCACTGTCCTAGGTGTTGTACATGTGCAATAGTAAGAGGGAGTCCCTGCCCTGAATTGCGTACAGCCTAAGACAAGATGGAGAAAAGGAGGATTATTTGCCCCTACTCTGCAGATGGGCAATTGAGGTGTAGAGAGATGAAGAAACTTGCCCTAGATTGCACACTGAGTAGTCAAGGATCAAATCTTCTAAATCCCAGCCCAGTGCCTTTGCTATAAGACCCACCTTTAGCTCCGCTGTATCTCATGCTGATCCCAAGAATACCCCACCCCAAATGTGGAGAGGATCCACACCTTGACCCAGTCAGAGTGCCTGGCTCTTCTGATGCTATCCCGCAGCTCTGTACTGTCCCTCTCAAAGTCACAGGCAGATCTTAAGGCATACAGAGCAAAATGCATCCTGCACTAGCCGTTGTCATCCTGCCAGGCTGAGAAATGGATGGAAGGGGGAGTAAGTTCCAAACTGACATGGTGTTAGGTGCTGTACAGAGACCGTCCCTACCCCAAAACATTTAGTCTGAATCAATTCCCTGCAGCATTGGAGCCAAACTGTACCCTCTGTGGCGGAGCTGTGGGTGGGAGAAGTGGTGCAAAGGTCACCTTGGGGCAGTTGTTAAAGCCAGTCAGAAGGAAGTGCCCCTGGGCAGCCCCAGCTGGCTCCCCTGTGGAGTTCTCATGCTCCTTGTCTCCAGCTGCGGCTCCCAGCACTGGGGGTGGGGGTGGGGGTGGAGCTGGGATTCCCCCGCCCTCCACAGCCGCTGCTCCCCTGCTATCCCTTCCCCCAGCCGTGCAGTGTCCTTCACACTTATTGCATGCACCAAGGACTCCCTGCAACTCCAAATTCTCTGTGTGCCCCCAACCACACTCAACAAAAGAAGTCCATTTTTCTAGCAGTTAAGCCACTAGCCACCAGTGCTCAGAATAACGTCGCCTCCAAGTCAGCAGCGACTAGAATGGGTCCAATTCCAAAAGGATCAGCAGCGTTCAGGAAATAAAACCCACGCCCAACAAAATGACTTCGGGTTCACTAAAACAAGTGACACCAACATCTAAATTAGTTTGTCTGAATAAATCTGTGGCAGAGCAGTCGGCAAACCCATCCCCAACTGATCACAAGGGAAGCCTTAACGTAGTCCATGCGAGACCATCTAGAGTTAATGGACTCCCATCCAGCTCCAGGTAGCTAACACCTTGGTAAAGGTTAATCCGGATACTTTAGAGTAGTAAAAAAGTTTCAAGGACCCTCCTCCCATCTATAAAGAAGGGGTGTTTGCAACCCCCTGAAACCTGTTCACAATCCTCCAATGGAGAACCCATGTCCCAGGAAAACAGGTGCTTAATGATATTAGTTGTCAGCAACTGGATCCCATTCAAATGACGCTGAAAGTTGTGTTCGGAGAGGACAAAGCTCTTTCCAACACCGTTGCATGCCTAAGACAAGCAATGGTCAGTCCCCTCTACCCTCCCAGCTGTAGCAACCGAACAGGGTCCCCTTTGCAGACAATTGCCCTCAGCAACAGGCGGTTTGCTCAAATTCACACCAACAGTTATCGTCCCACGGTGATGGGCACGTAGCCGTCCTCAGCAGGGCTTCACTGCTATAGTCTGAAAGGGCCAAGCTGGGAAGGTCAGATTTCTAAAAAGTTGCATAGTGGGATGAAAGCCCAGGGAAACCACACACACATCCTGAATGCACAGACCTTCTAGGTTTTTAAAACCGTACATATGGGCTCATGTTCAGTTGTGGAAGTGACTCACAAGTAAGTAAACCTCAGAAGCCACAGCCTCATGTAAACACCCCTATGTATTACTCACTACAGCCAAAAGCCCTTCAAGGATTCTCTCCCTCAGAAATATGGTCCCAATGTTTTGGGTTGGGTTTGTTTTTAAGTAAAATTCTTGGCCATTTGGGTATCCAGTTAAGAAGTCAGGACGCTTGTCAAATGTGATACATCCTCTGAGCACTCCCTTCCATCTCTAACAACCTGGGCATGCAGGCGTGGGGAGCACTGGACCCACAACATAGTTCCCTCCGCCCTATGGAAAAGCCCCTCATCCGAGGCTGCATGGGGCAGGGCTCAGCCCTGTAGCAAACAGCCCACTGTGCTAACTCAGGGTTCCTGGTCCCCATTCTGACCCTGTAGCGAGGTTTTTGGCAGAGCTGTGTTGCCATGGAGGGAAGAGAGCCAGGAAGTAGCCTAGAGACACAAACCTCTCAGTAGATGGCCCTACCCTCCAATGGACCCCTTCAAGAGCTGCACGGACCCGTGAGGAAGAGATTTGCAGGTTCTCTGGGCTGAATCCCCTGCCAATTTTTGCAGGGGCCCTAACAGGCAACCTCACTGCAGGATTATGCTGCATTGGGAAATGGCCCTATATCTATGCAGGGATGTGATAGGTCTCTTCCCTGTCTAAGGCAGAGTCTACCCTACAGCCATGTCACTGTAGTGACGTAGCGTAGCTGTTGCCTGTGTCGATGGAAGAGTTTTCCCCATCAGCATAGTTCATCCACCTCCCCAAGAGGCAGTAGCTGGGTTGAGGGATGAATCCTTCTGTCTACATCTGCATCCCCACCAGGGGTTAGGTTAACCTAACTACATACAGTGCTCTGGGCACACAGTTTTTCACAGCCCCAAGTGAAATAGGTCGACCTAAGTTTTAGGTGCAGACCAGGCCTTAAGCTTATGAAGAGAAGACTTCAGGGGTGTGGGAGGATCTAGTCAGATCACATGGTTGTCTCCCTGCTCTCTGGCCTAACCCTCTGCAGCCAGGGGAGCAGGAAGTTAAAAGCACAGCAGACAGACAACTGGCTGGCACCTGAGAAAGGGACATGGCATTTGTAAGAACAGCCATACTGGGTCAGACCAAAGGTCCATTTAGCCCAGTATCCGGTCTTCTGACAGTGGCCAGTGCCAGGTGCTCTAGAGGGAAGGAACAGAACAGGTGATCATCAAGTGATCCATCCCGTTGCCCATTCCCAGCTTCTGGCAAACAGAGGCTAGGGACACCATCCCTGCCCATCCTGGCTAATAGCCATGGATGGACCTATCCTCCATGAACTTATCTATTTTTTTGAACCCTGTTGTAGTCTTGGCCTTCACAACATCCTCTGGCAAGGAGTTCCACAGGTTGACTGTGCGTTGTGTGGAAAAAATACTTCCTTGTTTGTTTTAAACCTGCTGCCTATTAATTTTATTTGATGGCCCCTAGTTCCTGTGTTATGAAAAGGAGTAAATAACACTTCCTTATTTACTTTCTCCACACCAGTCATGATTTTATAGACTTCTATCATATCCCCCCTTAGTCATCTCTTTTCCAAGCTGAAAAGTCCCAGTCTTATTAATGTCTCCTCATTTGGAAGCTGTTCATATCCTTAATCTTTGCTTCTCCCCCCAATCTCCACATCTGGGACTGACTTCACAGTTCCTTTGCATCAGCCACTAGCCACCAATCAAAGCCCAATCACCACCTCACAGATTAACAACAAAAGAAAAGCAATATCCACAGGGGAAAATCTCTTGCTTAAATCTCAGTCTCCACACGCCCAAGAAGTCCTGTCAGAACAGTGTCACAGGGACACCACCCAGAAGACACAGCAGGGCAGTCCCAACAGCAAGGGGATAAAATAAATAAAACCGGTTTTATTTATAAGCACAGGAAGGGCACAGGACAAGAGGCGCATGCAATTCCCTCCCTATGAACTTTACGAACATTCCAAGGGGCTGCTTTGAAGACCCCCCCACTCTAGTAGAGCAGCCATTCTTTAAAACCAGCATGATAAAAAGCGGGGGACCCCCGGAAGGGACAACACCATAAGCCCTTTGAAGATCTCTGTGTCTTAGAGGTTATAATCAAAACCACCCACAGCGAGAATGGCTTGATTTCAGGAGTAGGGTCTAGACCCCTCCTCAGGGGGGAAGGAGTGGGAGTGGAAAGAAACCTTGTAAAGTTTACAGTGGGGAAAGCCATCGTATATCTCCCCCATCACCACACCTTTGGATTGCAACTGAGTCTAGCCTCAGCCTAAACGAGACAGAAGGAAAGACCAACAGAACTCTTCCTGTCTGGACCTGTAATGAAACCAAGCCCTGACCCCCAGCTGGATGGGAAGTCTGGGAGCCAGGGAGAGCCCACAGCTGCTGGAACTGGGGGTGCTCTTGCACCCCCTGACTTGAAGTGGATTCCATCACATACAGGGTTTACAGTTTGGTTCAATAGCTCTCAGCACCCCTACTGTACAAACTGTTCCTGGTAGAGACTCTCACACCTCCAACAACAGCACCTATGGAGAGAGACACACCTTAGCTTCTCCCTGCCCGCTCTCTATTGCCACCCCACCCCCCGATGGGCAAATCAAAGAGCCCCAACCCTGCAGAAATAAAAAGTACCCCCTTGCCGTACGATCAGCCCACCACAGCATGTCGGGAACATTGCACCCAAAGAAGACAAGCAACCCCTTTACATAATGAACAGCACAGAGCCACAGGAAAGCCCCCGCCCCCCCAAAACACAGCAGTGGATTTACCACAGTCTCTTCTTGGTTGGAGAGGGGGAGACATAGCTCTGGGATCTGCCCCTTTAAAGGGCCAGGAGGAGGCGGGGTTTCTTGCGAGCCCAATGCACTACCTGCTCTTTGCAAAAGAAATGAAGGAGGGGGGAAAAAAACAAACCCACCCCAGCTCTGCCTGGCTATTGGCAGAAATGCAGGGCAAAAAAAATGAATAAGTGGAGGACAGTGCTGTCGCGCGATTTGAAAATGAAACCGGCTCGGAGTGTGCGTATTTGCAAAGATCGCAAAGGCGGACGGGGGGGGGGGGCGAAACAGGGCAACCAGGAGCAGCACCATCACCCAAGCCAGCCACCATCACCCGAGCCCTGCAGGAGCGAACTCCGCCAGCAACCCGGAGCCGATTGCAAGCTGAGCTCTTTGGCAGGGCACCCCCCCCCGCCCGTCGCTGCTGCTCTTCCTTCTCCCCCCCCAGCGCTCAGCTGTTGTCTCCGGAGGGGCTTCCATCCATCAGCTCGGAGACCTGCTGAAGAAATAGCAGTCCCCTCCCCCTCCCAAATCAGGTGCTTTAATAATAATAATAAAAAAAAAAATAAAGAAGGGGGAGGGAAGGTAGCATTGCAAATTCTGCCTACCCCAAGCCCAGCAAAAGCCCTCCCCACTTCCATTCTGCAATGCATGATGAGAAGGAAAGCAAAGGGCATATTTATTCCGCATGCCTTGCTTGCTTCTCTCTGCAAATTCTAAAAACCAGGCTTCATTATTATTATTTGCAATTTGAAAATGATTTTTGCCCCCCCCCCAGGTGCCCACTCGACTACAAAATAATCATCAAAATAAACAAAACACCAACTTACTAACCCCCCTCCCCACCACCTCCACCCAAAACAAAACGGAAAAAAAAAAAAAAAAAAAGACTCCCCACCCCCAATTGCTCCCGATCCCGGATCTGTGTGGTGTGTGTGTTTTTTTTCCCTTGTGTGTCTGTGTTGTGATCAAATTAAACCCAAACCCCCCTTCTGGTTGCTGCTGATTGCAAATGCGGATCTGAAACAAGAAGGCAGGCAAAGCGAGACTCACTCACATACATACACAGACCAGCCAGGGCTCTCTTATTTATATAAATAAAAAAAATTGTTCCAAGAGGAAGGAAGCTGGGTCAAAATCATTTGCACGGGGAGGGGGGGGGCGGGGAGGGGGAAATAGGAAAGGGACCAAAAAAAAAAAAAAAACCCCTCCAAGCCTTACTGGAGGGAATCCAGCTGCTAAAAATAGCAAAATCACACTCCAAATTAAATAAGGGCAGGCAGGCTAAGCTAAAGGGAGCTTTAAGCCCTTCCAGTTGAGGGGTGGAGCCCAGCAGAGGCTACGCTACGCCATCACCAGTGGGTGGGGAAGATGCAAAGAAGGGGAAGGGAAGGGTGATTTAAAAGGGCTGCTGTGGTTAAAGCCAATGTTGGAAGGTGGGTGGAAAGTGGGTAAGAGAGAAAAACCAGCAGTAGCGAAAAAGCGGCAAGAACCGCCTCCTCCTCTCCCCCCCCCCAACAAAACAAACCTGGTCAGATGGAGGAGACAAGAAGAGAACTATTTTTCAGAGCTGTCATGTATACATATAAATATTAAAAGAGGGTAGAACCCCCCCATTGTTCTTTTGTTTAAAGGAGAAACGATTCCTGTGTAGTTGGGCATCCTGCTGGGGGAAAGGTAGCGTGGGAACCTTGTAGTTCTGAGACCGTGATGCTGTTTGTTATTTTTTAGAGAGATGCTCGCAAGTAGCTTTGAGCCCCCAGTTTTTAAAACACATTTCCTGTTTTTTTAAATATACAAAATCACTTGGCTCGTGAGCTGGGGCAGGACCTGGTTTTGTTACCTGCTTGTGCACCACAGTTGGGACTGATCCTTGATTGGTGCTCCTAGGCTCTGCTGTAATAGAAATAAATAATTATGAAAGGGATACAGTCAACTTCAACCTGATGGGGATGTGAATATGTTCCCCTACTGCAGTTACTCCTGATTTGCACCAGTGTACGTGAACGAAGAATCAGGGCACTATAGTGTAATGTAGGGAACTTTTTCACAGCATGGGCTGCATATTAATAGATGGTCTTGTGGCCATCTTCCCTTCTATTTGTGATTGTTCAGGCCCACCTCTGACCCATGTTCGCCACTCCATGACATTCTTGTAGTAGTTGCGGCAATTGCTTATGTGGAAAAGTAACAGTAGGAGTGTATTTAATGTATTTTTAGCTTATTTTAATGTGATTTAACAGCTGGAAATAATGAAAAGCCAGCGCCGTGTGACCAGCCCCGACCACCAGCCCCCCACTTTTTTCCCCAGAACCGTTGTTGTAAACCACACCCATTTCTTCACCTAGGTTATTATAGCATTAGTCTATTAAAAGTGAAAGAATTTTTAAAATCCAATTCACTTGTCCCCTCTTTATGGTCTGTTTGATTTGCATTTCTCCCAGCTTGGATAATGAAAATGAATTGAATCAGTTTCTCTTTTTCTGAGGGTCATTTTCCCATCCAGGCTCTTACTCCTTCTTTGGGTTTCAAACTCTGCAGTTAGTTTAAAGTTGTTCCATAGATTCATAGATTCTAGGGCTGGAAGGGACCTCGAGAGGTCATTGAGTCCAGTCCCCTGCCCTCATGGCAGGACCAAATACTGTCTAGACCATCCCTGATAGACATTTATCTAACCTACTCTTAAAAATCTCCAGAGATGGAGATTCCACAACCTCCCTAGGCAGTTTATTCCAGTGTTTAACCACCCTGACAGTTAGGAACTTTTTCCTAATGTTCAACCTAAACCTCCCTTGCTGCAGTTTAAGCCCATTGCTTCTTGTTCTATCCTTAGAGGCTAAGATGAACAAGTTTTCTCCCTCCTCCTTATGACACCCTTTTAGATACCTGAAAATTGCTATCATGTCCGCTCTCAGTCTTCTCTTTTCCAAACTAAACAAACCCAATTCTTTCAGCCTTCCTTCATAGGTCATGTTCTCTAGACCTTTAATCATTCTTGTTGCTCTTCTCTGGACCCTCTCCAGTTTCTCCACATCTTTCTTGAAATGCGGTGCCCAGAACTGGACACAATATTCCAGTTGAGGCCTAACCAGCGCAGAGTAGAGCGGAAGAATGACTTCTCGTGTCTTGCTCACAACACACCTGTTAATACATCCCAGAATCACATTTGCTTTTTTTTGCAACAGCATCACACTGTTGACTCATATTTAGCCTGTGGTCCACTATAACCCCTAGATCCCTTTCTGCAGTACTCCTTCCTAGATAGTCTCTTCCCATTCTGTATGTGTGAAACTGATTGTTCCTTCCTAAGTGGAGCACTTTGCATTTGTCTTTATTAAACTTCATCCTGTTTACCTCAGACCATTTCTCCAATTTGTCCAGATCATTTTGAATTATGACCCTATCCTGCAAAGCAGTAGCAATCCCTCCCAGTTTGGTATCATCTACAAACTTAATAAGCGTACTTTCTATGCCAATATCTAAGTCGTCGATGAAGATATTGAACAGAGCCGATCCCAAAACAGACCCCTGCGGAATCCCGTTTGTTATACCTTTCCAGCAGGATTGGGAACCATTAATAACAACTCTCAGTACGGTTATCCAGACAGTTATGCACCCACCTTATAGTAGCCCCATCTAAGTTGTATTTGCCTAGTTTATTGATAAGAATATCATATTTCGTTGTCCTGTTATTTTGAAATGGCAGAGCTATTTCTGAGAGCCAAAGTTTTCAAATCTGCATGCCTACAGTTCAGTTCCTAAATAAAGATTTAGGAACCTAAATTGAAGTAGCTGGATTTTCAGACGCACTGAGTAGCTGCAGCTCTCACCAGGTCTGAGCCTGCAATGAGCTCAGCGTGGGCACAAAGGTTCACCTATGCAAAATTCAGTGCAGGATTAGGGCTATGGATCTGGATGGGAGCTGAGATTCTCAGTATTTCTGGAAATCAGGCCACTCTTATAGGAGGGATAGGATTTTTGGCCAGCGCCTAGCACAGTGGAGTCGTGGTCCCTGACTAGGGCTTCTAGGAACTAATGCAATACAACTATTACTAGTAGTAGTACTTTTCAAAAGCGCATAAACTCTTAAGGAACACAGAGCAGGTTTATTTTAAAGAAACCTAAAGGAGTTAGGTACTGAGATCCCATTGCAATTAAATGGGAGTTGGGTGCTTAATTCTGTCAGACTCCTTTGAAAATTCCAATCACAAGTCAGACTGCACGTCAATAACGTTCGTTTATCAGTTTGTCACCCTTAGAACCCTGAATGTAGATTTAGGTGCCTAACTTTAGGCACGGACGTCTGACATTTTTAAATTTGGGTAGTATGTTTTTAATAAAAGCTTTTTTTTCCCAATACAAAATTAACATGTTATGCCAAATTGTAAATTGCTCTTATCTTTTGAATAGGATATTTTTCATGACCTTAAGAAAACAAATACATATATGTAATGAAAACAAGCATATCCTGGCTTTTCTGTTTTGATTTAAAAAATCCCCTGCAAATTCCTCTGTATGTTCCTAATTTAAACACACAATATTGTTCCTGGCTACTGGAAAGTGAAACAGACTAAAAATGAAAGGGAAACTGATTAGTCTATTTTTAATGTTTAGAAAAATGCAGGAAAAAATTAAACAAATGGGACAAATGGAAAAAAGTAAATATTGGGGGTGATTCTCCTCTCAGACCAGTTTGACACTCGGTGATTCCACTGAATTCAGTGGGGTTATTCCTGATTTACACTGATTTGAGAGAAGAATCAAGCCCACATAATGGTGTTTAATCTCAATTTACACCAATGCAGATGAGACGAGAAGCAAGCCCGCTCTGATGTGCTTTTTGTTTTAAATCTGCTTTTTAATAATATAAAGCTTTAGTAACACAGGTAAGGAACTTAAAAAAAATACACCTGGTGCTATGCAACAGTAAATAATAAAATCACAATAGAAGTACCAGATCTGATTGCTTTGCAATTTGTGTTATCCTTTACACCTGTGCAAAGTGAGTTTAAAATGCTGC